TGTTGAGAAAAACAGGTGTGAATTGTGTATCTTTCTCTTTTCCCTTCTGCTCATCTTTCTAATTATGGCCCTGTCCTTGCCTTTTAGGAAGGCACCAAAGTCATCCAGCCCATATTCCTGGGGAAAATCATCAGTTATTTTGAAAACTATGACCCTACCGACTCGGCGGCTTTGCAAGAGGCCTACACCTACGCCACGGTGCTGACCACCTGCACGCTGGTCCTGGCCATCCTGCACCACCTGTACTTTTACCACGTGCAGTGTGTGGGCATGAGGTTGCGGGTCGCCATGTGCCACATGATTTATCGGAAGGTAAGTGGGCACAGCACCAAACGAGACCCCTCGCTCAGAGCAGCAGCCGCTCAGGGGGAAGGTGTCCATGCAGCCAACACTGTGCTGTGTAAGGGTCGTCCGTCCCTTACAGGGAAGTGCAGATTTGCATCAGGCTGATTTTGTTCTGCCTTTGCCAAAACAGGCCCTGTCTGTGTATCACATCTGAACATAGCTGGCTGTCAAAATCCCACGGGTTTTGTTTTTTTTTGAAGATTTATTTATTTATGCATACAGAACTGGGGTACAGGCCAGAGGGACGGTGAGAGGCTTCACCAGAGACAGGGGGAGCAGGACAGGATGACTGTACCAATTGCTGAGGGGAGCAGCGGGCGGGTCAGGAGCGGTCTGCTGCGCCATGTGGTCACCTCCGGGGCGGGTGGGGATTGAACTCATGCTGCAGTGGCTTTAGCTTCTTAGTGCTGCGCTTTAACCGGCTGCCACCAGGAGGGCCCCCACGTGTTTTTTTAACGATAATTGAATGAATGGTGCACCACAAATACCACATTAGTTTTCAAGCCTACATTTAGTAGTCGTCTTGGTGGAAATTTTTGTTGTTGATTAAAACGTTCATTGACACCCACGACAGGGCTTGGGTCTAACAGGTAAATCCAGGAGAAAAGAGTATGCTTGACAAAAGGTATCATTACATTTTCTATAACTTTGTTAACTTGATAGAGATATAGAAGGATCCACGCCAATACAGTCTCACTATGTTATGTGGTTGTTTGTTTTTGATGGCATTAAAGAAACCAGTTAAATGTGTAATAAAACTTTAAATGTCATGTGGTGTAATTTTGGAGTGAACTTATGTTTTATGTTGCTTTTCATTCAAGTCCTTTTTTATGCAGTCTTTTCCTTTTGTGTGTAGTATAGCGTCTGGGTGATAAGACCTGATGTGATAAGTTCAATAGTTTTGTATTGTGGAATGCCACATGCTAGTCCATCGTTCACCCTGGCTTAACTATTATGGAAAGAATAAGCATTTCACTTTTTTTGAAATTTAAAAAGAAAAAAAGATTTAATGATGTATGCATACAAGAACTGGGATACAGACCAGAGGTGCCGGGGTGGGGGTATTCACCAGAGACAGAGTGGGGAGCAGAACAGGCCGACTGATGAAGTCCACTGCTGAGGGGAGCAGCGGGCGGGTCAGGAGAGGTCTGCCCCCATGTGGGTCAGCTCCTGCTGGGGATCGAACTCAGGTGGTGGCGGTGATAGCGCTGAGGCTTAACCTTACACCACCACGGATGCCAGTTTTGAGCTCTTTTACTAAGTTGCCCACAGATAAGCCGATGTCAAGGGCTTTATAAACTCCAGCCTGGTATCACTTTGCCTTGAAGTGTTTGCCTAAAGAAATTAAAATTCTCCTTTGACTATTATATACTTGAGATTTGCTGAGTTATGGTCCATTTAAGTGTGTTGACCACCAAAATAGGAGTTTTTTGAGATGATAGGTGTATTCGCAGCTTGTATATACACACACACACACACATCAGAGGCTCAGGCTGTACACTGTGAATGTACACAGTTTGAAAACAAATAGCACCTTCACTCTCAACTGAAAGATAAAACCAGCCCCTCTCTGGTGGCGCAAGGGGTTAGGATGCAGCGCTGAGAACTGGCTGCAGCTGCTTCAGTGTGAGTTTAATCCCGCCCCAGAAGTGATCCACATGGCGTGGCAGACCTCTCCTGACCCTCCCGCTGCTCCCCTCAGCAGTGTACTTCATCAATCTGCCTGTTCTGTTCCCTGCTCTGTCATTGAAGCCTCTCACTGCCATTGTGCCTCTGGCCCGAGTTCTGTGTGGATAAATAAATGAATCTTAAAAAAAAAAAAAAA